GCCCTCATGTAAGAAGTAACATACACGGCGGGTAAAGTGAGGAAGTTAGGGATTCGAAAGGGACGCGATGGAATGGCTAGTACCGTATTATCCTGGTAAGGGTCAGAAGGCTAAGTTCTGATTTATGGCAGATATTGTCATGTACGAGTAATTTACAGGTAACTTACGTTTTGATTCAAGTTTAGTAATGTAACGACCCTCCTGCTAGTCTACGTACTGTACAAGTACTGTAAATTACTGTACGAGTACCTGAGTACCTCACCACTTTGGCCACCTAGCGCCACGCAATGCCACAAAATAATCATATTGACGCACCCGCCCATGGGGGTGACCGATAGACAAAGAGTCGCGTGTGCTTGATAAGATGAGATCTAGCGTTTGCTTGTTGTGCGTGAAGGACACGTGACTGTCTTATCTATCGGCCGCGCTAGTACAATCAGGGAATCTTGGGGTTTAGACGGGATTTACTTTTTCTGGGAGGCTTCGGGAATGCCAACGCCGAGTTCCCCTTCTATCGGGAACAATAATCTAACTTATGTTGTTTATTATTTATCCACCTATTTATTAGCTAGCGGGGGAAAACCAGGAGGAATAGATAGATAAAAGGACGGAAAAGGAAAGAGTTGTAACAAGGTGTGTCTAGTTGGTCAGGGAACGGTACTCATGGTAAATGGGTGCAAGCTGACAAATAAAAGTCCCTCGGTATCTGTGCGGTAGGCACAATGGACTGAACCTCGAAAGGGTTCGCTCATAAAAGTTAATCAATATTCAGAGGTTTCCGAGGGTTATATCCACATACAAGTGAGATTTCTGCCGGTGACAGTTGGTGAGAGTTGCGGGATCATGTTATAGGACTGACATGAAGGGCAATGAAAGGGAAAGGGGGATTACATTGATGCATATGCTAGGCTCCTGAAGGTTGAGCAAGGCTATCATTGAAAGGGGAGGTTGCCCGTACAGGGTGCCTTCATGAGTGAATTTGGCATTGGTTGAGGAGGGGTACTTGTCCATCCGGTTTGGGTATGTTCCCGTTGGTTTCTGGGGGGAAGTTGGGGCGTCGTGTTTTTTTCTTTGCAAGTTCGGATAAATAGCTAGTAGAGAAAAATAATAATAACACTACAACTCCATACTTGGTGCCTTGTTTTATACATGTGATAATATGAAGTTATATCCCAACAACTTTTGCCAAGGTTCTTAAGTTTAGCACTGTGGTGTGGCGATTGGGTTCTTAGACGTCTTAACGCATGCCCCAGCCCCTGCTCAACAATTGTGTCGTCTGGACTCTCAATGACAGGTCAATCTGGTCCTTTATTCATTGCGGTTTTCCTAAAATGATTATCTACAGACACACTAGTAAATGATTTGCCCCGGCGCGGCCCAGCCTATTTGTGCTCCGCTACTCAGCACTTTGAGCCCAGAGGGAGGGAAACCCTTAGACGACTCTACCATAATACACACTTCCCATCCGGCTCCGCTGTGGAAATTTAGGGCTTAGAAAATTTATACATGCACTGTACGTGTAGCAGAGAAGGGCAAGTTCATCCTTGTTAAGCCGTTTAATCTTCGCCCCACACGACTAGTCATGTTTGAATGAATAGGACAGCCACCGCAACAGCTCATTCTCCCTCACCTCCCTTTTCAGAGCAAGAGACCCCCTACCGGTGACTTCTAACCTTTACAAAATAGAGTGCTATCGTGGATGGAAAGCTGTGGGAGAATTGGGGGTTTTAATTTGATGCATAAGCGACTACGGCCTATCTTAGCACCTGCTGATCTCCATTGCTCCCAGTTTGGAAGCGAAAGCTCAGCCATTAGGAGCCGATGGGAGCGGTACATGATACAACCCCCGGAAGCAAAAGGGGTGGGGGTTTCCGAGTACCGTACGCATGGTGCAAATGGAAGTTAGGACAATCGCTCAACTTAATCTATCCTCTAAGATAACTATCCCCACACCGGAACCGGATAACGAGACCTCCGGGGAACTGCCTAATGGTTTTTCCTCCCTCATTTTCTTTGTCGGATCTAGAGAATGAGTGGAAAAGCCACACCTACACCGACGATATGCAGGGTCCGAATTTGTCAAGTGTGGTATCTTGAACCACCGGTATGCAACTTCAAAGGTGGATTACGATCCGGTGGGATATGACAGAAAGCTAGACCTACCCTAGCTCGACCCCCGGTTTCGTAACACTGGACCTGTGGGCACCGGTGAATTGGCATTGGTTTGAGCATATATTATCACTTGACTAGACAGACCTTGAGACTAAAGAGAGAAAAGAATCTGGTTAGGTATTTTGTAAAGAGTTTATGATCGTTTGAGTGAGCAAGAATTGTTCACTCTCACCCTTCCTATCATCAAAGTGGATGACCACTATATATTACAGAAAACCCAACCGACCAGATATCCATCTGGTGGCTACATTCCTTCCAATTCAGACCACTCCTCAGCCCATACCATTCCTCATATCTCCTCGCATACATCGAGACCGCCCCCCGCACGAGGATATCTGGAAGCCCCTGACAACCCCCGCCATATCACAACAGAGACTAATGGGTGTTGCATCGTGGCGCCTCTGGGCGGTAGCTTAGGGTGTGGGGGGAGACTGCCGGGGTCGGGGTTCGCCCCTCCCACGAACTAGGGGCTTTGTATGTACCCTTCGTGTAAGACTAACCCTTGCCACGGCTGTTAGGATGTGTGCAAAGCTAGCGTAAGATTAATTTTCGCAAGGCCATAACACTCTCCCGGAATACGAAGGAGCTGCCTTCTTTTCCTTTTTTGATAATATCTGGACTCGCGCGGAAATGATTGAAGAATTTTGGACTACTCCCTACGGAATTTCTCCTTTTTGCTGCGCACAAGAGGTCTTGTTAGGAAACTGAGAAGATCTGGGGAATATCTGTCTTCAACTGCAAGTGGACTACTAGAGTTTTAAACTGCAATCTTATCTATCTCCTGCGCATGGTTACAGACGAAGGGATGCAATGCTGTCAATTCTTCCATTCTTCTACTGCTTCAGGATGAGTTGAGAGGAGGGCATGAAGCAGCAAGGTTTAGGTTGTTGCACGCGATTCTTGCCACAATTTTTGACGCTAGCCATGTACCAAATAAGGGTCAATGATAGCCCAATCGACGTGAAATTGGCTGCCAGGGAAAACGGTCCTACTTGTTCCCTCCCAAAATACAGCCTAGACTCGGAGCCTTCAACGGTATTTGCATTTTCCACGAAAGTGAAGTGCCACCGGACGCTCTACATGGCCCTCCGCCTTGGGGTTCTGTTCATCCAACAAAAGCGCGTACCGAGGTCGTTGACATCAGAAAAGTGACAACTTACCAAGGGCACTTTGACACCATGCAGACATTCACTAATAGCAACAACACGACGTTCCGATTACCGAGTACCTTGCTTTTCTAGTCCCAGGTTAAGTTATCTCCCCTCGACACACCAGCTCGTCCTGCGGAAGCTTACCTAAGGCGGAATATGTCTATGGGGATCCGCTATCGGCAATGGAAACGCCCAAGGTGCTTCCGTCCAGCGGGTGACGACAAATCGAACGTAATTTCCTTCTTGCGGAGGGCTTGAAAAATAACTTTTATAGATTTCTACCGCTTCTTCAGTATCTGCCACTTTCGAAACGTATTCTATATCTAGAACCTCCGCAATTGCGGATTGAAACCCTCAATGAGTAATTGAGGGATCCTATTCACCTCGACTTGGGGTTATATTCGGAGCGGATGTCGTGGGTGCCGAAGAATTCACCGCCATATTTGGCCTCTTGCCCGCGCTTGAGGGTGAAATGGCCTTGACCGCCTGGGGGCTGAGGACTCTAAGAATGTTTTGCCGCCACGGTGGTCGGTTGTTTGCTCTTTTTCGGAAGTTCCCGGGCGGTGTTTGTTATGATATCAGATTACTGGATGTTCTACTCCACTAGGGTTGAGGAAGATACCCCCCGGTTATGCTGGGAACCAAAGGGCAGGTATGGTGCAAAGTGCCTAAAGGCCGGTCCTCCGGTGAAACGGCAATTCCGTTGTAACCAATCGGGTTTGGGCCAATAATTGCAAAGACATGATGAGTAAGATGAAATAACATGTTAAGGGAAGTGTGTAGAATAGAGGATTAACCAGAATTAGAATTTTTTATGCCTGCCATACTAATCACTGATTATTTCTATGTCTCAGTCATTTATACTCTACAGTATTTTTCAGTCTGTCAGTAGGTAGATTCTATCACTTGTTTCACTCTCACCAAAATTTTCACTTTTTAAACTTGAACTACTTTTTCAAATAACACTTTATTAAAAAAAAAAAGGTCAGGCCTCTTCTCCTCTTGAATATCTTCCTTGCTGACCTTTTTTTTAATGTTTATTCCTTGTTGTGGTTGACTAGTTTAATTTCGGGTTTGCCTGTTTTGAGGACCACGATTGAGTCGCTTTGCACTATACCGCCTCCCCCTCCCCACGCCGCATCTCTATGCGATCTTTGTGAATCGACCCTAGCTAGTCGGAGGGTAGAGAGAGTTTTTTCCGGGAGATTATAGCTTCTGTTCCGGCCCCGCAAGTTCTGGCGGGGAGCCATGGCTAGCTAACAACCTCCCTAAACGCTGGGTCACCCCTTGGATAGGGTGAGCTATTTCCCTGACAAGGAAACATTGGTTGCTATGCCTACGGATACAACTAGCATCCTAGAATACCCCCCTACTTGGGAGCGGGGCGACTTCTCTATCTTCTGTGCCAGGTGTGGCTTGCTATTGTACGCTCCTCTTTTGAGCTACTAGCGACCTTTTATGAGAGGGGGCTTGCCTGACGGGCGGGGTGTGGGGAGGCAGGGATTTGGGGGGGTTGGATAGAATGGTTGGTATTATTCAAGTGTGCATGACCGAATCGAGTCCTATTTTAAGCTAGAAATGGGACCATCTCGGGATCATGGGGTTTAGGGGTGATTGTCCTTTTTCGGGATAGCTTCTAGATTGCCTACCCGGGATCCCTTGGTACTAGGAAGCATGGTCTATGGGTAGTGTATATATCTATCCAGCTATCTATCTATCGCGAGTAGGGGAAAAAATGGGGGCAGTAGATACATGAAAGAAAAATGAAAGAAGAAAAAATATTTTGTGATAAGGAATGTATTCGATGAGGGAATGATGATCAACGTAAATGGAACGAGTGAGCAAATAAAAGTCTTGAAGCTGCTACAGGCTGGGCACAAGGAACTAAAACTCGTACGCATTCATTTGAAAAGGTTAGCAAATATCCAGAGGTTTCAGAGGGGTATATATCTACATACAAGTGAGATTTTCGCCAATAGCAATCGGGGAGAATTTCGTGGTTATGTTGTGGGACGACATGATGGACACAAGGGAGGAAAAAGGGATAGTGGTGATTCCTGCAACACAATATACTAGGAGCCCAGAGGCAGAGCAAGGCCGGCGCTGAAAAGGGAATACCAGGGTGATTTGAGCGTGGTCGGATGAGCTCCCTGTGCTTCCGATCCGTCTTTGCGATTTCACGGCTGGTGAGACTGCCGCTCATCCGCGAATTCCACTGATGTCCGGCTGGTCATGGGTTTACCACTCTTTCATGTCCCATGATGCTAGCCCATCTGAGTGGTGCTCGGTTATTGACACCAGGAGGATTAGGGCCGACATCTTCCCACTCCAGTGGCGGTTGCAACACTCCTTCATGTCGATCGATGAGAGCACACTAGTGTGGTGTTGAGGTATTCGTACTTGGATGATTGGGGTCGATATTTTCCTGTTCCAGCAGTAGCCTGATCACTCCTTCATGTCCCTTTCTACCAGCGCACTCGAGTGGTGTTTGGCCATTCTCGTCTAGCCGATTGGGGTCAACACCTTTGCGGTCTAGTAACAGCATCACAACTCCTTCATGCCCATTTTCAGCTGCCCACGAGAGTGGCGTATTGCCATTGTTATCTGGTCTGTCGGGCTCCGCATCTTCCCGCCCCAGGAGGAGTTTCACCACTCCCTCATGTCCCTCGTTGGCAGCCCACCCGAGTGGTGTGAAGCCGTTCCTATCTGGATGATTGGGGTCGACATGTTCCAGTTCAAGCAGTAGCTTAACCACTACTTCATGTCCCTCGACAGCAGCATACCTGAGTGGTGTTCGATCATTCTGATCTGGCCGATTGGGGTCAACGCCTTTCCGGTCTAGTAACAGCTTCACAATCCCTTCATGCCCTTTTTCAGCTGCCCGAGAGAGTGGTGTATTGTCTTTGTTGTCCGGCCTGTCGGGGTCAACATCTTTCCGCCTTAGGAGCAATTTCGCAACTCCTTCATGTCCCTTGAGAGCAGCACACCCGAGTGGTGTTCGATCATCGGCATCTGGGCGATTGGGGTCGACACTTTCCCGTTCCAGCAGCAGCTTGACCACTGCTTTATGTCCGCGCACAGCGGCGCAGCCGAGTGGTGTTTGGTCATTCTCGTCGGGAGAGTTGGGGTCAGCATCTTTCCGGTCCAATAGCAGCCTCACGATTCATTCGTTCCCGCAGCTAGCAGCCCATGAGATCGGTGTATTGTTTTTGTTATCTGGCCTGTCCGGCTCAACATCTTCCCGCCCCAGGAGTAGCTTCACCACTCCTTCGTGCCCCTCGATAGCAGCCCACCCAAGTGGTGTTCGGCCCTTCTGATTTGGGCGATTGGGGTCCACACTTTGCTGTTCCAGAATCAACTTGACCACTCCTTCATGTCCCTCCCCTGCTACCCATGAGAGTGGTGTGCTCCCTGCGCAATCTTGCTGGTTGATATCGCAACCTTTTGCACTGATTAATGCTGTCGCGAGTTCCGCAATCCCGAAGAAGGACACGCAGTGTAGTCCGGAGAAGAGCGTGGAAGTGCCGATGTCTCCAATATTACAGGAAGGCAGTACTTGGCTCAAAAGTGATACAGCGGATACATGATCTTCGTACTGGTTCAGCAGCTCCAGGGCAAGGGTTATTGCGTGATCTGAGGGTTCCCTATTCACATGAATTCCCCAATATCGCGAGGAATATTGGAGAAAGGGCGCTCCTTCGCGGCCCGAGAGAGGGTGGGACGAGAGGCTCTTAACCTGTTGTGAGTTTAGATAGGTCAGGCAGGCCTCTGCAATCATCGAGTGAGGTTTTCTGAAGAGGTCTGGTTGAGTGCAAAGATACTCTTGGGCGGTAAAGTGGATTAATCGCACGGTCGAAGCTTCCTTATCGACTGTGATCAGGCCTTGACAGCAGGCTAGTAATGTAGCAATCGGAGGAACATTTTCGGTATCGAAATCCGTTGCCCCTATCTCCACGGCCAGTGCATGGCACAGGTAAATCCACCTGTAACGGTCTTTCCGCATGACAGATCCATGTGAGAGTGGCCATCGCCATCTTTGTCTTTTCCACGTCCTGAGCCTTTATCCGTTCTAGAGTCACCCCGTATATATCCCCTAACCCTTTCACATCCTTCATTGACTTGAGCCTTTTCCCTCGCCGAGCAACCGTGGTTTCTCGCAGGATTGCCTCGATATGGAAAGTAGCCAGTAGGAATCTAGATTCAAATGTCAGAAATTAGCCCAAGGTAGTGTTGCGCTTTCCCCCGTTCCTACATACGTTTCCGAGCTTATTTCGGGAATGCTCCTCATAATACTAGCTTCCAATGAGCTGCTCATTATCTCCGGGGTAGTGTCCTTTCGAAGTTTCTCGTGTAGATATCTAACGATACCATTTTCCGTAGGCTGCACTAATATAAAACTTGCTGCTCTATCCAATCTCCTCGTAACCTCACCCCGGACATGTGCTCTTCCAGTCATGAATATGCGGGCATTCGCTGACCCCCGGAGAACCTGCCCCAGTGACTCAAGAACCACCATTCGATCCCCTGGCGCACATTCATCAAGAGCGTCAACACATATGAAATGGCAGAAATTTGCAGTCCTCTCCCTCCAATCACCTTTTTCTCGTCTCGAGAACTCTCTACTACCGGTTCCGGAATTTCTTCCAATCCGCTAACAAGCTGTCTCAGGAGAGAGTCGAGCATATCTATCGGTGACTGCTCATTCCGGGAGGCGAAGTCGAAGTAAAAGCAGGCAACAGCAAAATCTTCCTTCACAGCCTCGTCGCATAACTTGTCTATAACTAGGGAACTGCCATCGTTACTTGTTAGCAATACCATTCTCTGATCTCCCGCAAAGATAGACTCTCTCTTACATGATAAAGCTCTTTCCCACCCCCGGATTCCCGGCGTAGAACAAGGCCGCATGATCGGATCCGCCCTCCCTTTTGAGCAACAGAAGGCTGACTAGAAAGGCACAGCGGATCTAATCCTCGATCTCTGAGGAACACGAGACCTTCTGACTGGTATGGATGAATATGGCACGCAATAGCCTTCAAATAAAAGATAAAGATTGAGAAGATGAAAGACTAAGAAACGAATGACTGAGTACAGATATCGGAGATGAAGCGGAGGACAACTGGAATAGAATGGACATAGACCAAGAAAAGACGAAAGAATAAAGAAGAACCAGCTTCCTTATATACCCTCCACAATAACACCTTCTTCCTTTTACGCATTTCCTTCTCCTACCCAATCTTCCAACTCTTTTGCCACTATCTCCGGCCCATGCTTGTCCGTGTTGCTTTCCGAGGTAAAATGGTAGATAACCGCGGGTATAGTAAACTGTGATGCCGAGGTGCAAAGGGTAGAAGATCAAGGATCTTGTTGTTCTTCAGTAACTGTGAATCGTATCGGGTTTCATTTGGAGATAAGCTATTGTTTGATGTGGTTGACATGATCGGCGGCAAGTGCGGTCTCAAGCTGTGTCTGGAACTAGAATGGTGAAACCGCCCTGGATGTCTTGTCACTCTTGGTGATCTATGATGTTCCATGTGGTGAGCAGTCCAAAGAGAAAAACGTTCAACACTCCCTACCACCATTATGCCACCGTCTGGACTCCTCGGTTTCTAGTACCCAGCTCCCTACACTATCTATCCGTTGGGCTCCGATTTCTCGATGCCGTACCCATGGCTCTAATGGAGAAAGCCACGGCAGTATTTTCGCCTCATCGTCTGCAGTAGTGCGGTTAAAGCTATTTGAGATTACGACCGAGTGGTCGATATTACTCAAGACTTGAGACATTTTTGATCTTCCGTGGCCTTTCGTGCTGTCGAAAGCGAGGTGTTGGGCAACTTGGAGTCGTTAGCGATTACTCGGAGTTGAGGAAAAGCAGGGTTGATCGCAGAGTCTTGCGCCTATTGACCACGGTCCAATCACAGGGTCCGAAATCCGTTACACGAATGCTCCAGGATTGTGTGCGACGCGGTAAAAGCAGTGTCCGTTCCCCCTTCGTAAGTGGTGGAAGGAACGCGCTAGACCATAATTAGCTCGAATTATCATAAATTAAAAACGCTCTTAAAGGCAATCCTCCCCTTGGAGGCGGGGGATATTTTTTCGCTCATCAGCATTGGCTGCCATGCCTACTACCCGAGTAATACAACCGGTATCCCAGAATAGCGGCACTGGAGAGCGAGACGATTTCTCTGCCCACTGTGCTTAATGTGGCTATGCTGTCATACTGTACTGTACTTTGCAGATTTGAGCTACTGGAGCCCTCATGTCAGAGGTAACTTACGTGGCGGGTAAAGTGAGGAGATTCGGGATTCGAAAGGGGTGCGGTGGAATGGCGGTGTTATTATCTCGGGAAGGGTGAGAAAACGGAGTTCCGACTCAAGCCAAAAATGGTCCTCTACCGGTACTGTACGAGCACCGTGCCAGTAGCTTGCTCGTACCTTGTGATTCAAGATTAGTATCATAATGTAACGACCTTCTTGCTATTCTACGTGCGAGGAGCAGTACCTGAGTGCATAACACACTTGACAAATTCGGACCTTTGATATCGTCGGTATGTGTGGCTTTTCCACTCATCCTCCACACCCGACATCCAACAAAAAAACAAAAGGAGGGAGGGAAGACCATTAAATCTACGCAGTTCCCCGCAGTACTCGTTATCCGATTGTGGTGTGGGGATGAGAGTTTGTGAGGATAGATTACGTTGCACGTTTGTCCCAACTTCGCTTGCACCATGCGCACGGTACTCGGAACCCCCGCCCTTTGCTTCCGGGGGTTGTATCATGTACCGCTCCCATCGCCTCCTAATGTCTGAACCTTCCCTTCCGGGGGGAGCAATGGAGATCAACAAGGGTATTCACAAATACCGCCTGCTGCCTATTGCACGATAGGCCATGTATCTATTGGCCCGAGCCACCTGATCGTCAATTTATAATTTGTCCAGGGTCCCATGATGCTCGGTTGAATTTGTAGAACGAAACCTATACAGTATGTCTACGACGTGCCTAGCAGCTCAACGCCAGATTCAATTTTTATGTGAATTTAGGAATTTCAAACCACTACCAAACATTCTCTGATGCTTTAATCATCCTTCTGGCCTTCTCACACATTGTATTAAATAAGTCTTCAACTTTCTTTCCCCTCTTTCACAACTTATTTTCATGTAGTGGGACTTCGGTTCAGCTTAAGGTGGGAATCTTGCATTGGGCCGAATCTGGGGATGAGCTGTTTGGCACGGTTACAGGGTCTGCTCAATTCACTAACTTACAGTACCTGGGGCGTCACTTCACACTTCTCAACACATGTTTAGGGGGCAATTCTTTTATTTCCTCTTAAAAAACAATCAAAAAGCCGGCCCCCACCCGTGCGTCTCTATCAACAAACTTATGCCGCCCCCTGGCCTGCCCCCCCTGGTGTGCAAGTGACAATCAGTATGCATAATTAGAACTGACTAGAATTGATCTACCGCTTACCCTTGATGCAACCATCACCACTGCCACCCCGAACGCACGCAGCAAAGGCCTTCAACCTTTCCTCCATCATGCCGAGCTTTTTCGGAGCATTCAGGACTATCAATGGTCAGTGTTCCTAACTGTCCTGGGAAGGGTGGGTAAGGACGGCAGGGCATGGCGTCCGTCTTTGATAAAGACCGCCGTTCGAAGGGTTGACGCCTGGGCCCGGGAGTATTAATACAAATGGCATCTTCCGGCCATCCTCACCGGGGACCGGCCCTCATTCGCAAAGCCCGGCCGTCATTTGTAGAGCCCGGCCGTCATTCGCAGGGCCCGGCCGACCGTCCAGGTAGTGGTTAGGACGGACTATAGGATAGGCGTCCGTCCAGGGCAGATTTCCAGAAACCCGTGTCCGCCCCGTCCGAAGCCAAGGACGGACGGACTGGATGCTTGGGAACACTGTCAATGGTGCACCAGCGGCGATGGCTTGTGCTTGGTTGATGCCTTTGGTAAGGTCGATCCTGGCTTCGTGGGGATCTTTTCTGACTCTGTCGATCTGTGCCTCAAGGCCATTCTTGACTCCGCTGATCTGTGCTTCGATATTTTTCCTAAGTTTTCATTTAGTTTCTTAAGTCTAATCCTCTCTTTTGTGACACCTGGCACGACCTACTGGGAATATAGTCACACCGCGCTATCCCAGATCTCAACAATCCGGATACCTCGCTGTCCCGTATGATCTCGGTGAACTCTGAATTTCTTTCCATCAAAATTTCACCCGCTGTCCCAGATCCCTCGCTGTACCAGACAAATTCCTCCGATTTTGGCCATCCAGGATAGCGAGGAGCGACTGTAATTCAAAAACCCGGCACAAATAACGGTTGCTGCAGGGTTTGCAAGTTTTCAAGGCGAGTTCTTAAATAATATCCACAGTGTTTGCAACGGGGCAGTCCGTCCGTCCTGGACCAGGACCAGGACGGACGGCATTTTGTCGTCCTGTTCAGTCATTTTCTCAACATGCCTGACAGGTAGGAATGAAGGACCAGGACGGACTGCATTGTGTCGTCCCGTCCGGTCTTTTCCTAAACTTGCCCGACACATAAGAGTAAAGGACCATCCACCGACAGTTCCCTGCCATCACCCACAGTCACCCACCATCCCCAGCTGTCCCTTAAACCCCCAGCCCTTCCCCACCGTCCCCTACGATCCCCGGTGGTCCTATGTAGTCACCTGCCGTCCCCTACCTGAAGTTGCCTCAAAGCGTGGGGCTCATCGTCCTTCCTCATGACGACCGTCCTAGGAGTTCAAGGACGAGGACGGACTATATGTTGCCGTCCCGTCCCGTCCCGGGCTCTTGGCAGTCCCTCCGCCGGGCCATACGGGGGCCCCGGACGGTTAAGAACACTGAATATCCATTGGTCAGCCAGCAATCAAATGAGGGTCAAATAGAAGGGTATTCTTACTCGAATAAGAAGACATTGCCCTCAATCGGAAAAAATTAAGGAAAGGGGAAATTGATGAAGGAAAAGTGTAAGAGGAAAAACGAAGGAAAGATTGATGGCCAAGGATAAGGATGATGGGGATGTGAAAGGGAAACTATCCCTTGGGCGGTGTGGAACAGTAAAATTCGCGCCCAACCCTACTAGTCCAAATGGAGGCTCTTGGCGCTTATGAAAGCTGCGAGGGATATCAAATGACTATAGTCGCAAGTCAACATGTGCATTGCAGTAAAGATCCAGAGTAAGGGCCCGTTTACCTAACCGTCTCGTTCAAGGGATTTGTGTGGTAGGAGTTGACGGCACCGTCAGATGAGAGTTGCGTTGCAACAGACAGTGCCAAACGCATTTACCTAATTTTCAACTGTCAGGAATTTTAGGTGCATGCCGGTCCAGATGAGAAGTTACTCCAGAGGTGCGGTAGCAACACTGTCAACCTATCCCTGGGACCTGTTACACCCACAATGGCCACACCGCCACTGCAAATCCTCTGCTTTCTTTGCACCAGTGGTTCTAGAATAAATATAATAGACTGATACGGTTGTCTACTACCTTCAAGGTCTTTTTTTTTAAGTGGCACCTTGAGAGATCTTGTTTATTGTAGCAAAGCAACTGAAAAAGGGCCGCCAGCAGAGGCGGAAGGACTCCTGAGGAGCCATTGTAGGACATGCCCAGAGGACCGTAGCTGGGCCCAAGACCGTAACTAGTCGGAAATGGCGGAAAGGGAGAGGAATTTGGGAATTGGGTGTTCAAAACCCTCTTATCGTGTCATGTAAAAAGTTTTAGTTACATTAGGACGGTGCGATAGACGGTGCATTGCTGTAGACGGTAAGTTAGGCAAACAGAGAATAGGTATTCAGCCTCTGACGCCACCGACTGTTAAGACCCCCTTGACGGTAGGCACCGTCAATGTGCACTTGACGGCCGTCTGTAGGTAAACGGGCCCTATATCTATCGCCCGGCGCACTCATATGTAGGAGAATAATATTATATAGATTAGGGAGGATTTGTTATGATGGTCGTCACTGGAACTGTCCTTATCACTCCAGCAATGGCACTAACCTTGCCAGATATGCAATAACACTCAGTGGGTCAGTTTTGCAGTCTTAAGAACAGTGCTTAAATAAGATGGTCATTGAGGGGATGTGTTGAGACCTTTATTTACTGTAGTTCGCACTAAATTGAACGCTAGGGGAAAAGTTTTCAAGACATACCCAGCCAATCCTCACACCACACTCAGCCAAACTTGTATGTTCATAAGTTTATGCAACATATGTGATTTGTGGTAAAACAAGTATAGTCCATTTACAGTACACCTATCATAGCCAAATGACAGAAAAGAAATAACCTCTTGCTACACTGAATTTTACCAAGGTTTAAGCACAGTTTGAGCGACGGTGGTCATAACAAAACCTCCCTACTAGTCCTCCACTAAAAGGCCTTCCTGGATGAGGTGACGTCGGGTTGCTTTGTTAATTGACTTGCGTAAAGCATCAAATCGGAGAACTAGTGTATCTGCTTCACTCCATCCCTGATTTGCAAGCCTCTCAAACGAATCTCCAAGTATATCTCCCAGTGATAGCATTATGCTCTGGGCCTCATGGCTCCTCGGTAGTGGAAACAGATTCTACATTCCCCATATCAGTAAAGGGTAATGAGACCTGCAGAGTGATAAAAGTCACCTTTTTCTGACCTTCCTTCCTTGCAACCCCATCCCTGAGCTGCCATACTTCGACAAACCCTTTTTGAATTTCTGTCTCTTCTTCTTGAAGTGGCTCGAGTTTGATCACTATCACCTTTGCAATTTGTCCTTCACTGCCCTCAAGGAGCAACTTTGCATCTTCCTTCAGTTGGTTATATGGTTCGGCATAGCCGAACTCAAAAGCAACCGTGGGCCAAGAGCATTCTCCGGGCACTAGTGCAACATCAGGGACTTTGGTTCTATATATGTGTAAGATTCATATTTAGATAACAATGTTCAGTCTAGAGAATAGGACCTACATATTTTCATATTCATCAGAGAATCCCCTGAGCCGCCCTTTACCAATAAGATCAATGTCTCCTCGGTCAAAGGCTCCCTTTTCGACTCCCTCTGCGATCAATTCACTCGCCCAACTCGTAACTGTCCCATGCATTTGGGTTGTCATCTTTACCGTCAACCGACCGATTGCTGGCCAATAGGTGTACCTTGGAGAGTCTGTTAATACCTAGTTGTCAATAATTGTTTGGATTCTTACGCTCTAGTTCCAATCAACTTCTCTAATTCTGGGAATGCTTTAGCGGGAATATCTAGAACAAGATATTCGTCCTGCAATAGCAGGTCTGATAGCTCATCGGGTGTCATGGTACTCAGGAAATTATGACGATAGGTGGTAATGGGGACGGTGGGAGGTGGGATAGAGAGTGCGAGGAGTTGAGAGCACTGCAGCTGATTTCTTGCAGAACGAGGAAGAGGCAAACAAAAGGTCTGGTCTTGGCGTACGGTATGCACCGCTCGGTTCGAGTATCAGTCAAAGTCCACGCCAAGGCCGATGTTTGATAACACGGGAAAGGTGGCCTAGTGAATGTTGATTTTTTTCCGCTGTTCATTAATAGAGGAGTTTAGCCGCACTATGCTGTCATCATCGTGCTGTTGCTAGAGGGAGCGGACCGATTCACCATGGTAACGCCACCAGCCCAAGCGTTTATATTTTGATTACAGTGCACGATGCGGAAAACAGTGTTATGTAGTACAGTACTGTGTTGCAACCATGGCATCATAAGCAAACTGCCCGTACAAGTTAGTTAGCATGAGTAGACTCCAAGACATGCACCCCAACAAAATCACCATCTTACATAACTGAGGAAAAACTTGATTTAGCACAGGTTGGCTAAACCCGCACTATCTGCCATCGGATTTTCTTCGACACTAGGGACTTTGCGAAAAGACTCTGGATGTGGGTCAAACAGGGTTCTGGGCCAATGAGATCGCTAGAATTGGACTCTAGATGCGAAATCGCAAAGTCTCTACTAATTACCTCTCAGATTTAGCACGGAATGGTAGCAACGCGGTTGGCTGAACCCCTCTATTCAAGCCACCAGCGCTATTCTTGCTTGCAATAAGGTTAGCAGAGCTCGTTTCGTCCAAACCAATTTTTACAGTGCAATTTCGCATGACAAACGTTCTTATCTTTGGCCTTGGATTCTCAGCTATAGGACCCATTCGAATACCTGCTGTCATGTTGTGGGGAGAACGAATTGAACAAGTCAAAACTGGCAAGTTGACTACCTTTTCGAAATCAATAATACCTGTATGACGTACAGTACCCTAACGTTGGCTGAGTATTTAGCACAGTGGAGCCTCACAACCAGCGCGGTCACAAAAGAATGAACCATAAATTATCATCGCACACGGTATTGAAAATCCTAGTCCCTGCATACGTCCTATATTGTAGTATGGTTATCGCAATTTCATCCGCATCGACTTGGGGTTCATTCTATCGTGTCGCATCCCATACTTTCACAGTCCTCCTCTGGATTGGTTGCCGTTCTCGGCAAACATATCCCCGTATTCATACCTCACTAGCGCTTCGCATAAGTGACCCCAGGCGGCAGTACAGGTGGCCGACCTCAGGTGGCCGACCTCAGGGTTCACACTAATAGCCATAAGGGGCGAGGACCGAGAGGTATCTCTCAGGGTAATGCGATCCTGGTCTGTATCACCCCTGGAAATCCAATGATAATAGCTGATGTTGGCAAGGTACTGTAGCCATAAAGCATGGTAGGCGGGGACAAACTCATACACTATAAACTGTCAGGGTATATATCTCTTAGGGGTATCGGGACTTGCGATGACATATCACGCCATGAACGAAGATTATAAATTCCAATATGTGCTCTACGATTGCCGGCAATGCTTGTCGAAGCACCTCTAGAACGCTGTGGATCTGCTGCCAAATATGACCTGGCTTGTTCTAGGCCCGTAGCCCGAGTCTTCCATGTGGATAAAGAGCAAGTATAGTGCCATGCCGCTCACTCAGTAGGGTCTTGTGGCTGCTAAGCCAGTCTTGCCACAATCTAGGGCTCGTAACCTCACTACTAGCCGGTGCTAGCTCGATGGCCATTGAATCTCGGTGGTGTATTTGAAGTTTCAATGCCTTGGGATTGCGTATTGTAGGTTGGTTGGAGCCATCTACTACGCGTGTCTATCGGCAGTCACGGCATTCATAAAGAAGTTCTAAAGCTGCGGTTTCATCTGAATGCCGCCAGTATATACCAAGTTAGAGCATGATTTGGTCAGTAGTTTTACACTACGGGTTGCCTGTTGCACAGAGGGTATTTCCGGAATCTGTGCCATAGACACTAATATATCACATAGTGAGACTAGGCCAGTATCCACTGAGTTATCGTAATAGGGCTCTAGGGAGGGTACAATACTTGAATACCCTTGCCGGACACCAGCGTCGCCCCAGACCTGATACACAGGTTAGTTATAATATCGGTACTTGTACTGAAGAATAAGATAGGGGGCGCTTAAGTAAGGGGAAGGTTTACATGCCCAATTAACGTAAATCACCGGGATGTGACACAGGACCGGGATGTGACACAAAATGCAACAGTAGTCAAAAAAGGTAATAACTCAACCAATTCTTAATCAAATTAGATCAAATAAAATAATATTAGTTGAGAAAGGATAAGAGAACTAGTTCAAGCCTAAAAAGTAAAAATAAAATAAAAATCACCTAGAAGAATACCAGAAAAAGAGAATAAATCTACTAAAAATAGTAATAAAGGAAATAAGAGAAATTAAGGTATAGGAGCATGTAAGACAATATAAGAAGTGAATGGAGGTAATCTCCTACTGGTTGAGATAATATAGGAAATAATAATTAGTGGTTAATGAAGTATATAGAGCAAAGAGATAGTTAAAAAACAAGTTAATTTAAGAGCAAAATTATGATAATGTGGGTAAGGCTTGTAAGAAGTGAGAGAGACAGCACTTTGAATAACTAGAGAAGCACAGTAGTTGGTCAAGATCAGTAGACTTATAGTAGTTGAATTGGATAGAATTTGTGGTATTCTGGTAGCTCCTGAATAGTTTTTACTATATTTTTTAATATATAATGTAATAGTAGGCATTACAATAAACTTTGTAATGGTTAGTTGCCTATGTATCATGAATTCCTTGATAATTATGATGTAATATGTTCCTGCTTGATAGGTTTCAGAACTAGTATTATAGAGATTGATTGAGCAATACATTTCTATAGTTTGAATATAAGTTAATGACTCTTTATAGTAATAGTTCTAATTTGACATAAATCTACCCTCTGGGGAGTTTACTTTCTAAAATTTATTCAAAAGTAGTGAGTACTTGACTATAATACTAGTATTATGGAAATTAGTTTAAATCTGTTAGGTTTGAATCTAGGATACTAAAAGTAAGGGTAGATATAATGAATATAAACTTAATAATTATATATAATTCTTAAAATATATTAGAATAATTAAACAGCTAGGAGTTACTAGTTTCACTTGCTCTATAGCTAATACAATATCTACTACCATAGAAAGAACTTTCTCTAATAAATAATATATGCTGAATTGTAATTATATGGAGTTCGAATTATGGGTTACCTTTACCTGTAAGTTTTCAGAATACTGGTTCTAAATTAACCAAATATAAATATTTCCTCTTTTCCCATAGTTAATGAATATTGTCTAATTATGATTGAGTAATTTATAGTATTTAGACAAGAAACTGCTCCAGAATTTGTAATAATGTCCATGATTATACTTTATATTAAGAATACAATAAAGATAGTTCAGCAACTACCAGAACACAACAAATTCAAACTAATTCAATCACCTTGAGTCCACTGGCCATGAACTACCTGGTGTCTTTCTGATTATTCAAAGAGCTTTCACTCTTACTTCCTGCAAGCCTGACTAACATTAGGATCATTTTACTCCTTAAATCAACTGACTTTGTAACTATTTCTTTACTTGAAAAACTTCAGCAGCAGCTAACTATCATTTCCAATATTACTTCAATTAACAGGAGATTATATCTATTTACTTTTCATATTGTCTTGCATGCTCCTATATCTTAATTTCTCTTTTTTTCTTTCTTACTATTTTCTTACTATTCTCTCTCTTTTTTTGGTATTCTTCTATTTAATATTTTACTTTTTTATACTTTTTAGGCTTGAACTAGCTCTCCTATCCCTTCTCAATTGAAATCATCTTGTTTGGTCAAGTTTGGTTAAGAATTGGTTTAGTTGTTGTCTTTTTTGAGTACTGTTGCAATGTGTGTCACATCCCGGTACTGTGTCATATCCCGGTGATTTACGTTAGGTGGCAGTCCAGAGGGCATGTTGTGGGCAGGTTATATATAGCTATTGATTTCTAATGGCCCAGTGGGCCAGCCTTATCCCATGATTGGACACATCGCTAGAGTGTGCTCTTGAGCCCCAACAACTAGTATCATAGAACCGGGCGGACCGCCGGTGGTAGTCCGTCTTTTTTCAAGTCTATGGGCGGACTAGGGCCAATGGAGGTAGGCCCGGACGCCCTACCGGGCCCTGTGGAGATTTTCTGTTACATCTCTTTCGCTGGTATGATCAGAAACCTCAAATTCATGATTTCATCTAGCACATTGTTTTTGATCATTCTTAGTACCTCAAGAGTCGGAGTAAGTATCCCGCTCTGTGCGCTGGAGATGGCGCTTGCACTACCGCTGTCAGAGAGTTCTTATGGTGGTTGCAGATATCTGTATTCTAGAGGGTCAATTGAGTTTCCTGGTAAGCCTTCTGGAAAACCTAAGGAATTTTGCTGTGTCAAGATCCATTGTATCTGTTTGGCATTGTTGCGATATCACCATGGTGACAATAATTAAAGACAAAGTCTTATGGGATCATTTGAAAGAGAAAATGAGGCTCACAGTAGTGGAATGATTGCATCAGTCTTATCTTAATACTCCGAGCACCCGATGATCTATTTAACCTTCTTTTTATTTTAGACATCGTTTACTGTGTAGGTTACAAAGCATCACCATATACCGCTCATAGTTTGTCTGCAGCCCCCCGCCGTCATTCTTAATGCCTGCCATCTGTGTTCCCCCCGCGGTCCTTACTTACACCCTGCAGCCCCTGCCCACACAGTGCAGTTTTCGGCTACGCCTTATAGTCCCCCGGGCAATCCTGGCCGTCCAGCCATCTCCCCTGCCGTCCGCCCACGCAGCTACTTTCCCAGTTGCCTCACTAACCTAACAAAGAGCTAGCGTGTAGGGCCCGGGAGTCCCCCGAGAAATTTGCCCCACATAGGACCACGGCTAGCTGTCCTGTTCGGGCTGGTCTTCTGTTG